GGAATCAAGTCAACGATTTGAAAAGCGAAGAAGCAAAAAACACCCAACCGGAAAAGGAAAATGAAAAAAGAATCCAAAAATACAAAGATAGTGTAAGGAGCCTCTCGGACAGCTTCAAGCGTACCAACATCAGAATTATAGGGGTGCCAGAAGATGAGAGAGAGCAAGATATTGAAAACCTATTTGAAGAAATAATGACAGAAAACTTCCCCTACCTGGTGAAAGAAATAGACTTACAAGTCCAGGAAGCGCAGAGAACCCCAAACAAAAGAAATCCAAAGAGGTCCACACCAAGACACATCATAATTAAAATGCCAAGAGCAAAAGACAAAGAGAGAATCCTAAAGCAGCAAAAGAGAATCAGTTAGTTGCCTACAAGGGAGTACCCATAGGATTATCAGCTGATTTCTCAACAGAAACTATGCAGGCCAGAAGGGAATGGCAAGAAGTATTCAAAGTGATGAATAGCAAGAACCTATAACCAAGATTACTTTACCCAGCAAAGCTATCATTCAGAATTGAAGGTCAGATAAAGAGCTCCGCAAGATAAGAAAAAGCTAAAGGAGTTCATCACCACCAAACCAGTATTATATGAAATGCTGAAAGGTATCCTTTAAGAAGAGGAAGAAGAAGAAAAAGGTAAAGTTAAAAATTATGAACAACAAATACATATCTAGCAACAAGTGAATCTAAAAATCAAGTGAATAAAAAAAAAATCTGTTCAACTGGGTAAACCGGTGAATATAATAGAATCAGGAGCATAGAAAGGGAGTGAACTGACAATTCTCAGGGGGAAAGGGTTGTGGGGGTGTGGGAAGAGACTGGACAGAAATCGTACACCTATGGATGAGGACAGTGGTGGGGGAGGAGTAAGGGCAGTGGGTGGGGTAGGAACCGGGTGGAGGGGAGCTATGGGGGAAAAAAAGAGGAACAACTGTAATAATCTGAACAATAAAGATTTATTAAAAAAATAAAATAAAATAAAAAAGTTTTGTGAATGGAGGAATAATGTATGTAAAACCATATTTGGGAATTACATAATGAGTGAACCAAAATAACATGAATCCATCAGAAAACATTACAACAAAAGGAAAGAAATAATTTACCTAAACATGTAGGTAACAAAGATATTTTTAAAAGTTACTCATTTTGTTTTAACGAATATTATTAAAATGTCACTCTCTCAAGGTACTGAGAAGCAGGTCAGGAATACTTAATAAAATTTAGAAACATGTTTTATTTTTTAAAGAAGACAAAATGTTATAACTTAATATGCAATGAAAGTAAAAAATGACAATGTAAATGAAGTCAAAACAAAGAGTAAAAATAAAATGCTATAATTCACTAGAATAATTACAACACAATTTAATAAATTAAGATATTAATGAAATGACAAATATTTTTTTTAATTAAAAAATTTAATCCTCACCTGAAGATATGTTTTTTATTGACTTTTAGAAAGAGAAGATGGGAAAGAGGAGAGAGAGAGAGAGAGAGAGAGAGAGAGCGAGAGAGAGAGAGAGACATGAATGTGAGAAACATCAATCTGTTGCCTCCCATATGGGTTCTGACCAGTGATCAAACCTGCAACCTTTTGGTCTATAGGATGACTCTCTAATCAACTGAGCAA